CCACAACGCCCGGCTATTTTTTGGTTGCAGCCGTCATTGTTGTTTGGCGGGTCCGGGCTGGGGATTCGAATCCGCCACCTTAGGTGTACGTGGCTAGCGCCTTAGCCGGTTGAGCTATAGGCGCCGAGCCCATTAGTGAGATTTTTAAAAAAATGTTTGTACTAAGTCATCAAAGTCCATTGTGTAATTTATACTTACAACATGTTTTCATTTAGACTAGCTACATTTCAAGTGCTCAGCAGCCATATGTGGAACTGTGGGACAGAACCTAGTCTAGAAGTTGAACAGCTCCAAATCCTGTGGAGTGGGGCATTCAAATATAAATTATGGTTTAGTCATGTGGTACCTGATTTAAAATAGTAAAAACATGTTTTTAGGTGCTTTTTAGAATGTGCCCATGGGTTCCGTTCTTTCCCAATGTGGGAAATTCCATTCACAACTTGCTGAACAGACATTAGCCCTTTGATGTCTGCTGGGCTCCCTTGGGTGAATTAAATGGATCCCTGCCCTGAGAACTCCCAGGCCAGACTCAGAGGCTGATGAGTTTGAGGGTGAAAAGGTGTTAAGAGTCCGTACTCGTATGGGAGGAAGGCAGCTAAATCACTGTTGGGGCCAGAGGTGAGAAGCAACATGGAGAATCCCAGTGTAAGCAATGTAGATGGGAGCCTGGGTTAGGAAACAGTTCAGGGTATAGCAGGGAGGACCCAGCTCCTAGGGTTTAGGAGGGAAGAGGGTAAGGGGATATGAACACAGATGAGAAGGGCCATGGCTGGGAAACTTTGCCAGCTGTTTATTTTTTTACAATCCTGTTTAATCAGATTTTGGCTTCTTTTCTAAAAGCAGCTTTATTGAGGTATAATTGACATACAGTCAGCTGGATCTATTTAGAGTATACAGTTTGATCTGTTTCGATATATATATACACCCAGGAAATGATCACCAAAGTCAAGATAATGAACAGATGCATCACCCCAAAATATTTCTTTGTGCCCCTTACCATCCTTGTCTTTTAAGTAGAGAGTTTAGTCTATTTACATTTATTGTCTTTACTATTAGAATTGGATTATCTTATTTTATTTTTTGAGACAGTCTCACTTTATCACCCTCAGTAGTGTGCCGTGGCATCACACTGCTCACAGCAACCTCCAACTTGTAGGCTTAGGCGATTCTCTTGCCTCAGCCTCCCAAGTAGCTGGGACTACAGGCACCTGCCACAACATCTGGCTATTTTTTTGTTGCAGTGGCCGGGGCCAGGTTGTAACCCACCACCCTCCATATATGGGGCTGGTGCCCTAGTCACTGAGCCACAGGCACCACGCCTAAGGCAGTGTTTTTATTTATTTATTTATATAGAGAAAGAGTCTCACTCTGTCACCCTGAGTAGAGTGCCATGGTGTCATAGTTCACAGCAACCTTAAATTCTTGGGCTCAAGCAATCCTCTTGCCTCCTGAGTAGCTGGGACTATAGGCACCCACCACAGTGCCCAGTTAGTTTTCTATTTTCAGCAGAGATGAGTGTCACTCTTGCTCAGGCTGGTTTCAAACCAGCATCTGCCTCCAAGAGGGCTAGGATTACAAGTATGAGCACTGCACCCAGCAAAGCAGTGTTTTTCAACCTTTTTTATCTCACAGCACATTTGAACCATATAGTTAAACTGTGGCACATTTGAATTATGTTGATCCAAAAAAAGATAATATACTTACTGTGCTTTGAACTTCTTTTTGGGGGGCCATTTTTGGCTGGGGCTGGGTTTGAACCCGCCACCTCTGGCATGTGGGACTGGCACCCTACCCTCTTGAGCCACAGGCACCACCCAAGATATTAATGAATTACTTTTCTTTTTCTTTCTTTCTTTTTTTTTTTTGGCGGTTTTTGGCTGGGGCTGGGTTTGAACCCACCACCTCTGGTATATGGGGCTGGTGCCCTACTCCTTTGAGCCACTTCTTTCTATATATATATGTATATATATATATTTAGAGACACAGTCTCACTTTATTGCCCTCAGTGTATATATATATATATTTATAGACACAGTCTCACTTTATTGCCCTCAGTAGAGTACTGTGGTATCACAGCTCACAGCAACCTCCAACCCCTGGGCTTAGGCGATTCTCTTGCCTCAGTCTCCTGAGTAGCTGGGATGACAGGCACCTACCACAATGCCCAGCTATTTTTTTGTTGCAGTTTGTCTGGGGCTGGGTTTGAACCTGCCAGCCTAGGGATATGGGGCTGGTGCCCTACCCACTGAGTCACGGGTGCCACCCCCCAAAATATGTGTATATTTTGAGACAGGGTCTCACTTTGTTGTTCCTGGTAGAGTGCTGTGGCATCATAGCTCACAGCAACCTCAGACTCTGCCTCAGCCTCCTGAGTAGCTGGGACAACAGGCACCTGCCACAATGCCCAGCTATTTTTCATTTGTTTGTTTGTTTCTTTCTTTCTTTCTTTTTTTTAGAGACAGGGTCTCACTGTAGCTCAGGCTAGTCTTGAACTCGTGGACTTAGGTGATCCACCCACTTCGGCTTCCCAGAGTGCTGGGATTACAGGCGTGAGCCACCATGCCCAGCCTCAAAAATAATTTAATTAATAATCTTTAAAATTTTTCACAGCACAACAGTGTGCCAAGGCACATCAGTTGAAAATGATTACCCTGGGCAGCGCCTGTGGCTCAAAGGAGTAGGGCACCAGCCCCATATACTGGAGGTGGTGGGTTCAAACCCAGTCCCAGCCAAAAACTGCAAAAAAAAAAAGAAAAGAAAAGAAAATGATTGCCCTAAGGAATGGTCCAGAAAGTTGTTTGGAGGAAGTGGAGGGTGGGGATTGGGATGAATAAGGTCTAGGGAAAAGGCACCTCCTCTGTAAGTTATCTGTGTTCCTTTGTGCTAGGGCAAAACTGTCTCACTCACCCTTAGGTCTTCCTACACCTCTACCCACCAAAAGTGGCCCCATAAAAATAGCTAATGAAATCAAACAAATTTGAAGAGTGGATGGGGCTTGGGCAGGCATACCACGGGCAGCCACAGTCTGAGAAAAGGTGGGGAGGTGGGGATGGGCATAGTACCAGGGAAACTGGAGGCCTGATCTGTCAGCATGAGGGAGCTACGCGTGTTCTTGAACTAGAGAGTCCCCATAACAGGACTCTGTATGGGCATCTAGTAAAATAGGGAGAAGTGGTCCCAGAGAAGACAGATTAAAAAAATAAAAAACTTAGCTGGGTATGGTGGCACATTCCTATAGTCCCAGCTACTCAGGAGACTGAGGCAGAAGGATCACTTGAGCCCAGGAATTCAAGGCTGCAGTGAGCTGTGATGACACCACTGTATTCCAGCCTGGATGACAGAATGAAACCCTTTCTCAAATAAATAAATAAGCAAATCTAAAAAGGGGGGAGTCACATTTTGAGGTGACTGGGGAATAGGATTAGGATATCAACATCTTTTGGGGTAACATACCCCAAATAGGGAGGTTCCAGAGAAGCCAAGAGTGGCTTTCCCAGGGAAAGGCATGTCTGGGCTTCTCCATAGGTCCCCACGCCCTTCTCTTCAAAGCACCTTGAGCACCTCCAGGACTGGTGGTATCTGTACTCACCTCCAGTCTTCCTGACTGGGACTTTCTTGGGAATGGAGCAGAGGGCTGGATCCTCTGAGGGGCCTTTCTGGGCATATGTCACATGTGGGCATGCAGGGGCTTAACCTGGAGGTGTGAGGGGCCTGTGAGCAGGCAGGTCCCATCTGACACAGTACCCTGGGCCAACTCCTCTCATGGGCAGCTGTCCAGAGGCCAAGGGTACTGAGGCCAAGCAGCAGGTACAACTTCAAATCCTGCTAGGGTACTTATGAACAGTGGCTTTGCCCCTCTGAGCCTCAGTTTCCCCTTTGGGAAACAGGATGGCCATAGTTTTCTGAATGCAACACCCCCTCTGGGGCCAGGTGCCTGGCTTGGGCTGGGCTGGCACACAATGGAGCCTGGCCAGGGCTGTGTGGACACTGCTGTAGGAGGGAACAGAGGACACATGTGTCCCCAAGGAGCTGGGACCCTCTGCAGAGCAAGAGCGGGCCCCAGCTCAACCCTAGTATGATGCATTCGGGATGTGGGCAGGGTTGGGCATATGTTACCCAGCTGTGCTGAGATTAAAATTACCTTGTGACTTTTTTTTCCTGCTTCATCGGGTCCTGCCAGGGCTCAGAAGTAAGTCTCCTATTTGGGGCTTGGTGGGGCTCAGAGAGTGGGGGTGCACGATGGTCATGGGGCAAAGTGCACACTCAGGGTATACCACATCCAGCCTCAGAGGTGGGTAGTGTTCATGTCTGCCCTACAGGTCAGTGCTGGCTTCACCAGGGCCTGGCATTCAGCTTCCCAGGATGGTCCTGAGTTGGGCCAACTGTGTAGACATGACCAGCCAGTGGGCACTGTGGGTGGTGGCTGGGAAAGAGCATACCACAGGGAACCTGAGCCCCAGTGTACATCTCACAAGGTAACCCTGGGTAGTTGCATGAAAGAACTTCGCCTCTGCTGTGCCCTCTGCTTGCCTCCACTCACCCACCCATGTCTCCCCAGGCTCCGGAGTGTGAAGATTGAACAAGGGAAGCTGAATGACCAGGCTAACACAATTACCGACCTGGCCAAGGTGAGTGGCGTGGGGCAGGAATGGCAGGCGGGGCACCAGGGAGGATGGGGACAGGACCCAACTCTTGTGGGGCAGGGGGCTGGGGAGAGAAACAGGTCCACTGTGATCAGAGGTCCTGATTGTGAGGAAGACACTAGAAATCTACATTCAAGTATAAAATCTTTACTTTTTAATATTGGCAGTGGCTTTTTACTTTAAAAATTTGGGGGCCAGGAGAGATAATCCCATCAGTTTGAGAGGCTGAGGCAGGAGGATCAATTGAGCCCAGGAGTTTGAGACCAGTCTGGGTAACATAGCAAGACCCTGGCTTTACAGAAAAAATAAAATTTAGGCTTGGCGCCTGTGGCTCAAGTGGCTAAGGCGCCAACCACATACACCTAAGGTAGCGGGTTCGAATCCAGCCCGGGCTCGCCAAACAACAATGACGGTTGCAACCAAAAAATAGCCGGGCATTGTGGTGGGCACCTGTAGTCCCAGCTACTTGGGAGGTGGAAGCAGGAGACTTGCTTGAGCCCAGGAGTTGGAGGTTGCTATGAGCAGTGAAGCCATGGCACTCTACCCAGGGGGACAGCTTGAGGCTCTGTCTCAAAAAAAAAAAATAAAATAAAATAAAATAAAATTTAAAGATTAGCCAGGTATGATTGCGCACCTATAGTCCCAGCTGCTCAGCAAGGTAAGGCAGGAAGGTCACTGGAACCCATGAGTTCGAGGCTGCAGTGAGCTATGATCCCCCACTGCACTCCAGCCTGGGCAACAGAGTGTGCCCCATCTCTATAAAAAAATAAACAAAATAGGGCAGCACCTGTGGCTCAAGGAGTAGGGCACTGGCCCCATATACTGAGGGTGGTGGGTTCAAGCCCGGCCCTGGCCAAAAAACTGCAAGCAAACAAAACAAAAATAAAATAAAAGTTTTAGACGTTAATCAAATAGTTTAGGGAAGAATATATAATTAAGGAGATGAATGGTTGAAGAGGTACTCTTAGGTATACCATCTCCATTCGAGCTCTGAAAATGGAAGAGAAAAAGAAAACTCCTTTGCTATGGGTATAAATTCAAATGATAGCCTCAGCAGAGAGTTTATTTGTATAGCAATTAAGCACAACTCAGGAAATTAAACTTGATTGCAAGAGCTTAGGAAGAAATTGGTTTATGTTATACATGAAACTGTTTGTTGCTTCTAATATCAAATCGTTTCCCACTTTTTAAATTCATCCATTTGAAGATCTTTCATTTGGCCCATTGTAATCAAGCTCTTAAGAATTTTATTTTTTTTAGGCTGTGTGCTTGTAATCCTAGCACTCTGGGAGGCCAAGGCAGGTGGATTGCTTTAGCTCAGGAGTTCAGGACCATCCTGAGCAAGAACATGACCCTGTCTCTACTAGAAACAGAAAATACTAGCTGGGTAGTGGGGGAGCCTGTAGTCCCAGCTACTCTGGAGACAAGAGGATCACTTGAGCCCAAAAGTTTGAGGTTGTTACGAGCTATGATGATGCCATGGCACTCTACCCAGGGTAATGGAATGAAACTCTGTCTCAGGAAAAAAAAAAGAATTTTATTTTTATTTATTTATTTATTTATTCTTAGAGACAGAGTCTCACTATGTTGCCCTGGGTAGAGTGCCGTGGCATCACAGCTCACAGCAACCTCCAACTCCAGGGCTTAGGCGATTCTCTTGCCTCAGCCTCCCAAGTAGCTGGGACTACAGGTGCCCACCACAATGCCTGGCTATTTTTTTGTTGTAGTTTGGCCAGGGCTGGGTTTGAACCTGCCACCCTGGGTACATGGGGCCAGCCCCCTACCCACTTAGCCATAGGTGCCACTCTAAAATTTTATTTTTTAAAGCATTCTGGGGGAAGGGTACAGGGATAGTGTCTTGCTACATTGTCCAGACTGGACTTGAACTCCTGGCCTTGAGCAATTCTCCTGCTTTTGCATCGCAAAGTGCAGGAATTACAGGTAATGAGCCAGTATACCTGTCTGCTCTTAGAATGTTTGACATACTATTCTGAACTCCCTCCTGACAGATGACACACATTTTATAAATAGCTCTTGAATGAGATTTTGCTCAGTGGCTACATCTCCTAATTAATCAGTCTAAGGCTAATTTAATATGTCTTTAGAAAATGTTGATTCCTATTCTATTTTACTTCTTATATCTAATGCATTTTGAACTCAGTCCCTGGCTCAGCGCCCGTACACAGTGGTTACGGTGCTGGCCACATGCACCAAAGGTGGCAGGTTTGAACCCAGCCTGGCCAGCTAAACAACAATGATAACCACAACAAAAAAATAGCTGGGCATTGTGGCGGAAGCCTGTAGGCCCAGCTACTTGGGAGGCTGAGGCAAGAGAATCACTTAAGCCCAAGGGTTTGAGGTTGCTGTGAGCTGTGACGCCATGGCATTCTACCCAGGGCAACATAGTGAAACTCTGTCTCCCAAAAAAAAGGAATGAACTCATTCCCCTCATCATCAATGCAATATAATTTAATATTCATGTACCATCAGTTTAATTTGGAAATAATCTTTTGGAGAGAAAAACATACTCTAGAGCCCTGAAGAAATACAGTTGACCCTTGAACAATGATGCGGTTAGGCATGTGGACCTCAAAATCTGCCTATAACTTTTGACTCCTCCAGAACATAACTATTGTCCTAATTGCCTATTCATAAACAGCCAAATAACACATATTTTTAATGTTATGTGTATTATATGCTGTATTCTTACAATAAAATGAGAAAATAAAATTACAATAAAATAAGAAAATCATAAGGAAAAGAAAATATCTTGACTATTACTTAAGTGGAAGTGTGTCTTCATAAAGGCCTTCATCCTTGTCCTCTTCACATTAAGTAGGCTGAGGAGGAGGAGGAAGAGGGGTTGGTCTTGCTGTCTAAGGGACAGCAAAGGCAGCAGAAAATCCATATATGTGGTCCATATACGTGGACCTCAGCAGTTCAAACTCATGTTGTTCAGGGATCAACTATAATTGACAGGGCACATGCTAAGAGCATGCAGAAATCTTTGGCATGCTAATTTGATGTCCTATGAGATAAAAGACATAAATAGAAAATACCTTTGAAAAAACCTCAGTGGAAGGGGAGGAGGAGAAGGAGGAATTTACAAATAAGGTATTTTACTTTATTTATTTTTCTTTTTTTTTTTTCAAGACCCAGTCTCATTTGAGTCACCCTCTATAGAGTGCTTTGGCATTATATAGCTCACAGCAACCTCAAACTCCTGGGCCCAAGCGATTCTCTTGCCTCAGCCTCCCAAGTAGCTAGGACTACAGGCACCCACCACAATGGTTGACCATTTTCTCATTGCAGTTGTCATCATTGTTCTAGCTGGCCTGGGCCAGCCAGGTTTGAACCTGCCAACCTTGGTGCATGTGGCAGGTGCCATAACCAGCGTGCTACAGGTGCAAGCCCAAATAAGGTATTTTAATTTGGGCCATCCATAGCACACTTCTATTAGTGAGTTAGTTGATTGAAATTTGAATTTTTAAAAATGATTCAAACCTTTTCATCATGATATAATTCCTCACAAAATACATTTAGCAAAGATTTCTTTGAAGTAAGTTTTTAACTGGATTGGATCAGGGGGTTTCTAGTGTTTCTTAACAAGGTTGAAAACGTTTTCTAATATTACATTTTAATGCTTTCCAAGGTTGCTAATTTAATATTTCTCTTTGACAGAAAAAAAGTATATATCCTAAGATAAAAAGAAAAGTTACCAGCCTGAGCAAAAACATAATAAGACTCCATCTCTATAAAAACTAAAAAAATTAGCCAGGCACGGTGGCACCCTACTATAGTTGCAGCCACTTGGGAGGTGAAGACAGGAGAATCACTTGAGCTCAGGAGTTCAAGACTGTAGTGAGTGATAATCATGCTACTGCACTCTAGCCTGGGGGTCAGAGGGAGACTCTATCTAGGGGAAGAAAAAAAATTTTTTTAAATCTCAGAGAAAGCCAAAAAGAACAACTGGTCAGATGTGGTGGCTCACACCTATAGTTCCTGTACTTTGGGAGACCAAGGCAAGAGAATGGCTTAAGGCCAAGAGTTCCAGATAAGCCTGGGCAACATAGCAAGACCCTGTCTGTACAAAAAATAGAAAACTTAATTGGGTATGGTGGCAGACACCTGTAGTCCCAGGGGCTACTGGGGTCTACTCACGGGGCTGAAATGAGAGGATAGCTTAAGCCCAGGAGTTGAGGCTGCAGCAGGCTATGATCATTACACTGCACTCCAACCTGGGCAACACAGTGAGATCCTGCTGCCTCTAAAAGTAATAATAATAGGCTCGGCACCTGTGACTCAAGCAGCTAAGGTGCCAGCCACATACACCTGAGCTGGTGGGTTCAAATCCAGCCTGGGCCCACCAAACACAATGTTGGCTGCAACCAAAAAATAGCCAGGCGTTGTGGTGGGTGCCTGTGGTCCCAGCTACTTGGGAGGCTGAGGCAGGAGAATCACTTGAGCCCAGGAGTTGGAGGTTGCTGTGAGCTGTGATGCCACAGCATTCTACCCAGGGCAACAGCTTGAGGCTCTGTCTCAAAAAAAAAGAAAAAAAAGTAGTAATAATAAGGAACCATGGGAGGACTAGATGTCATCCCCTGGCCCTAGGCAGGCTTGGGTAAGCCTGTGGTCACCTGAGGCAGGCTTGGGTAAGGTCAGTGACACTAGAGGGGGCGTTCTCCCTCCCACCCAAGGTGTTTGCTAGGCATGGGTGGGGTCAACCTGAGGCAAAGGTATGCTGGCTGGAAGGGAAAGACTAGGAGAGAAGCAAGTAGGAGCTGTGGTGGGGGCCTCCTCCTGTCTCCCTCCTACCAAGCCAGGTGTTGGGGGTACAGATACTTGGCGGAGGATCTCAGCACAGCTTTGCTTTGCTTCTGCCCAAGGGGTGGTCAGCGTGGTCAGCGCCGAGCCGCAAAGTGATATTATAGCGCCACCTTGTGGCTGGAGCAGCTTCTGTAGCTGGGGCTGTCCTGTGTGGCCAGCCACCCTGCTGGGTTTGGACAGTACTGGAACCTGACCTGGACAGGCTGGCTGGGTCCTGGGGAAACCGTCAAGGTGGTGGTGATGCCTTGTAACAGGACTTGTTATGGCTGTCATGCTCATGGTCTGTGATTGGGTCAGATTCTCAGGGTGGTCACCTCTCTCATCAAATTCTCTCTTGCCTAATGTGGGGTAAAGCGGGGGCAATTCACAAAGATCCAGGAGCTCCCCCTTCTCCTCCTCCTAGACCACATTAGAATTGCTGCTCTCCCAAGCCTGGAGTAACAACAGCCTGGAACCTCTCCCAGGTCTATGGGTACCACTCAAGATCCCCCTCTGGCTGCATGTGTGGCCTGGCCAGTTCACCCCCAACATAGGGCAGCTCAGGCCACATTCTCCAATGCAACACTTCCTTGGGCCTTCCCCAAGCCTATGATCCCTGATCCTGGCATTCAAGGCCTGTCTCTCCCCTCGATCATTTTCCCTAGGCCCCAGCAAGAGACTTGTGGGGCAAGTGTCCTCCCAGTAGCCTCTCACTTGGGTGACCTTAGCAGCTGCCACCCAACTGGGGCCTGCTGACTGTCTCTGTCATCCCGCCCTCTCTCACTTGGCCACTCCTCTCTCTCTGGCCTTCTCTGTCTTCCACAGACCCAGAGCATCATGTATGATCTTGTGTCCGAGCTGCATGCCCAGCACGAGGAGCTTGAGGCCCGCTTGGCTGCCCTGGAAAGCCGCCTGGACGCGCTGGGTGCCTCCTTGCAGGCCCTGCCCGGCCTCATCGTCCAAGCCATACGCCCACCCCCGCCACCCCTGCCACCCCGGCCCAGCTCTGGCCTCCCAGACCAGGCGGCCCGGAGCCCCCCATGCCGGTGGGCACCCATAGCCCCCTCGGACTGTGGGTGACGGCCCTGCCCGCCACCAGACCCTAAATCTTGGCCATCGTGTGGCCGCCACCTCCGGGAAGCCCTGTACAGTGGTGCCTCTTGGAGTTCAAGAAGCCTAAGCTGAGTTGGGCTGAGTGGACTGGGGCCTGCCCCCCCAGACTGCCTGGGCAGAGGGCAGGGCTGGATCACAGGCAAGGGTAGGGGAGCCCGGAGCTTCCTTTGGTCACCTGGCACCCCCAACTCTCCCCAGGCCCCCGGTGGGCATGGAGCAGCTGGGGGACGGGTTCTTGCTCATTTGAAATAAAGCAGGACCCACCAAGTGGCTACCTGTTGTGTATGGCCAGGGAACACTGGTAGTCATCATGTGGGGGGGTGGACTCCCAGCTAGGGACACCAGGATGGATGTGGGGATCCGGAAAGCCTCTCCCCATCACTGTTCTACCCTTGTAGGCTGGAGCGCAGTTGGGGACAGCTTGCTACGATGTCTGCCAGCTCCACCTGGCGCTGATAGAGGTACCCTGCAGGGGGTGTGGCCAGCCCTGGGTAGAAGGAAGCGTGGATGACAGTAGATAACGGAAATAATCCCTCCTCTTCCACCAACTTGCTTAGATGGGGTATCTACTGTGCCAGATTCCAGCAAGACCTGGGTCATGGTTGGTCCAGTGAGGGAAGTAACCTGGGTAAGGGGGGTCATTCCGTTTTCACTGGATGTGTATTAAGCACCTTCTGTATACAAGGAATATGACGTCAATTACCATACTGACTGAAAACTTGACCAGACTAGGATGGAAGGGAACTGAGTCTCAAAGAGGTGAAGCTGCCTACCTGGGGCCACACAGCAGAAGAGTGAGAGAGCCAGGATTTAAACTGGAGGGGTTCCATAGGCGTATGTGGTACCATCCTGGACTCAGAAAGACCCTGTTGTAGGCTGGAGGTGAGCAGTCTGGACACAAGTAGAATCAGAAAGCTTCCTCCAAGCCTTGGTCTTGGGTGCTGGGGTCAGGCGGGGGCAGTGGGTACTTGCCAGATGCTGAGCCCTGGGTGGGGAGGGAGGCCGAGCTTCTGGGGAGACTAATCTGGGCTCAGCTGAGGAGCACTCAACTGTGGTAGCCTCTGATAAGACCATTGGTCCCCTGGTTCCAGGAGATAGGCTGTGGCTGAGTGCTCAAACCCAAGAACAAGAAGGGTCTGAGGACACACCAATGGGTTCTGGTCAGAGCTGGGTTCAAGTCCTGACTCTACCACCGCTGGGTGCTTCTGGACAGTAGCTGCCCTTCTGGGGACCCCAGTTTCATCTGTAGAATGAGGGTGACAGGTGGTTTAACCAGAACCTTCTAGAAAGGGCCAGGCAACTAACTGATAAGTGCTCAATAAATGCTGTTCCCCTCCCAAGGACTTACATGGGAGTCAGAGAGGCCATAAAGGCAGTTGACAGGCCTCATCCTAAACTTTCTACCAGCCTTGTTGTCTGGCTGGGGAAACTGAGGTCTGGGAAAGACAGAGGCTTGCTCACAGGGTGGGAGCACACGGTTCAGTTAAAGGACATCCCTCTGTGACCAGTGGTAGCTTCTGGGCCTGGAAAATAGGGCACATAGCAGTCAAAACACAGCAACCAGAGCCATAAAGAAAGAAGGCCAGAGGTGACTGGGGGACTCTGAGGAAATGGCTTTGGGGCGTGAATGGGATGGGTGGAGAATGGATCTGGCTGCGGAACAGCCAGTGCAAAAGCCAAGAGGCAAGACCTGAGGCTGGTGTGTCTGGGGCAAAGCCACGAGGTGACAGGGACACCAGAGCGGAGGCTTGGGCGGTGCTGGGCCAAAGGTTCTGGGTTGAAGGGATGAATGATACAAGACGGAGTTCAGTGGGCACCTAGGTGCGGCGCCTGCCACATCCGCCGCCCCCCCCACCCCCCACCCCGCGCTTGCCTCTGACTCAACAGCGCCGACCCTACAAAAACAGGGCCGGCCCCGCCCCGGGGGAACGGCAAAGTCAACAGCGTGGGCACGCAGGCGGCACGTCCCAGCGGCCCCTGGCGCGTCACAGGGACAGACGCAGAAAACTAGGAAGTTTGTCGACGACGCGCCCTCCCGGGGTCAACGGCTCCAGCACAAGTTAGCAGAGGCAGGAGGAAGCTCCGGGACCGCCCGGGGCTATGAAGAAGGAGACCCGGGGGATCTGCAGACGCACCCTAGCCGTGCGCCTCCACGCTGCGTGTCCCGGCCGTGTCCCCCGTCGGGGACACGGTCCCCGCCGTGTGCGCCATGCTCCCGGGAGGTGTGCACAGCTTCGCACTGGAGCTGGCCCGGGGCCCGGGCGGTGCGTACAGGGGCGGGGAGCGGCTGTGCGGCCGGGTGCTGCTGGAGACCGCGGCGCCGCTGCGGGTGCGAGCGCTGGAAGTGGCGGCGCGCGGCTGGGCTGCCACGCACTGGCTGGAGGGACGCAGCGTGGGCGTGAACGCCGTGTCCAGTGACTATGCGGCAGCCGAGACGTACCTGAGGCGGCGGCAGCTGCTACTCCGAGGTGAGCCATCCTCCGTTCCACTCCCCTCCAGCCAGTATCTCCTGGGACAGGACCCTCTCCCCAGATCTGGGCGTCCCTCGCCAGGACTCGGGACCCGCCTCCTTGGATACCCATCCACTCCGGGCCGGGATCCCCACTACCAGGAACCTTCCCTGCCCAGGGCGTCCCATTCCCTCCAGGAACGCCCTCGACTTAGAGGCTGTCTTGTGGGGAGACAAAAAGCAGGGGGACCCTCTTATCCAGGGTCCGGGGAACCTCTGCGGGGTAGGATGGGAGATCTCCTTTGCAGACCCCAGAAATCCCCTTTACACTTAGGCCTGGCGTCCTCGATTTCCAAAGAAGGCCCTCAACTCACGTGCTACCCAGGTCCTTGCCGGCAGTGTCAGCAGTTATGAGTTCTCTGGGGCTTGGGGGGAGGGCTTCTGGTGGTGTTTGCAGGTGAGAGGGTGGATTGCATCCCAGAGCGGAAAGAGATGGGGTTAGGTCATATTGGAGGTCATGAGTGGGCCAGGGGCCACAGAAGGAGCGAATCTGACTGGCTGCACCCTAGGACCGCTCTGGGCTGCCCTGGCAGCTCTTCCGGAAAAGGCAGACCTCACTATATCCGTCTGCAAAATGGGTGAGGTGGAAGAATAACTCCTTTTTTTTCAGTGCTGGGCACTCTAGACGATTTGCCCACAGCCTTGCAGCCTTGTTCCAACAGGCCCCACGTGTGGGGGACCCTGCTCTCCATAACAGTGGAAACTGAGGAGCTGACCCCCGCTGCTGTGGGGCAGGGCAGGAAGAGGCCTAGGAAGCACTTCCCTTCTCCAGCCACTCAAGAGAAATATTGGTGCCATTCTCACCCCAAACACCCCTGGCGGCTTCCTGAGCAGTTGCTGTGTTACCTTAGGCACAGTGCTGCCTCTCTCTGGGGCTCTGGAGGTCCATCTCTGAAATGAGTTGAGGAAGGCTCTGGTTCAGTAAGGGTCTCCCTGTGCCCCGCCCCCCCCCTCCCAGAACTACAGTTCTTTCTGTGGTTTAACTTGGTCCTGGGTGAAGGACCCCAAATTTCAGCCTCAAAGCCCCTTCTTCCAGGCTTATCAGTGAGCTTTCAGCCACTTCACCCCTGTTATGATCTCCTAGCACCGAGGGTGCCAAGGCCTTGAGGGTCCCTGTGTCACTCAGAGAACCGCAAGGGAAGGGGATGGGTTAGCAAGGGTCCTCAAACTTTTTAAACAGGGGGCCAGTTCACTGTCCCTCAGACCGTTGGATGGCCGGACTGAGGGCTCCGGGACGAGTCGGCTGCTAAGCAGGACAGGCAGCGGCGGCAAAAACACCCGGCGGGCCGGATAAATGTCCTAGGCCAGCCGCTGTGGTCCACGGGCGGTAGTTTGAGAACGCCTGGTTAGAGCGTCAGCTCATTCTATGGTCACCAGAGGGCGCGAGCGTCACACAGACTATGGGGAAGCAACTCCACCAGGAAAATTGTGAGGCTTTTCTCTAGGGAAATTGAGCTCACTAAGACATCACGCTCCCGAGGGCATACCGCGACCCTGGGGAGTTCCCCGCACTCTGCTTTGTCTGTGAGTGGACAGGGGCTAAAGATCCTCAGAGCGGGCACAAGGTCTGGAGCCAAGTATTAGTTTGCCAGAGGCTGAAAGTAGGGAAAGGAATGTCAGGGTAGTAGCAACGGTTTGGGCAAAAGCCTCGAGGCATGACGGGGTGACTGACAGTATGTCGGGAAAGGGTTGATGTCTCGGGAGCGAGGCTTTCGGAAGGGTTCGAGCTGGGGCTGCACAGTGTGATCCAGGCATAACCCTCTGAGGTCGGGAGTGATTTTTTCTCCTGACTCTACAGATGTGGAAACTGAGACTCCAAGAGTTTGTTACTTGCCCCGGAGGTTACCCAGCAGAGCAGGGTTTGAATCAGAGGAGGGGGGCTGCAGGCGCCAAAGTTGAGGGCAGCCTCACCTTCTTCCCCCTCCCTCCCTCCCTATTTGCACTGCGAGGTGGGACAGGCCCGGGGTAGCTGTAGGCTCTCAGGGCCTTAACTAGGACCAGGGATCTCCACCTCAACTTGGGCAGGTGATGCCTGAGTCACTTCTGCAAGTGGCAGCCGATGAGCGATTAAGCATAGGGTCAGTATGCTCTGCTAGGTGACCTCAGGTCTGGGCACTGCCTCCAGGCCTCAGTGTTCCCTCGTTACTCCCGGGGTCCGTAAGAGATCGGCTGTGGCTGCCACGTTGCTTTCTCCCGGGGTCGATGACAGTAGGGTGCAGCCCAGGCGGAGCAAGAATGTTTTACTTTCCTCCACGCCTGGGAGGAGCCACGCCCCTCGTCGCGCTATTGGCGAAATCCCTTCCGGGGCGGGGCTGGCATCTGGCCCCACCGCTCTGCCTGCCGTATAAAAACGGCGCCGACAACCGGCGCGGGGATTTTCTGGTCAGTTCGGCGTGTGCGCCTGCGCGCTTTGGGAGTATTTGGATCCTGAGGCTGCAGCGTCCGCACCTAGCGCTTCCGAATCGCGAGTTCGAGGCCAGGGTCTGCAAGTCGTGGGTTCGCACCCCCAGGCACGATGCTGTTCGACAAGGTGAAAGCGTTCGCGGTGCAGCTGGATGGTGCGATCGTAGGCGCTGAGCCCGTGTTCAGCGGCGGCCAGGTCGTGGTGGGCCGGGTGCTGCTGGAGCTAGCGGGCAAGGCGCGCGTGGGTGCTGTGAGGCTGCGCGCCCGGGGCCGCGCCCACGTGCACTGGACCGAGTCACGCAGCGCGGGCTCGAGCACCGCGTATACGCAGAGCTACAGCGAGCGCGTGGAGGTCGTGAGTTACCGTGCCACGCTACTCACGCCAGGTATGGGTCAGCGACCCCTACTTAGTGCACGAGTTGTGCACTCCCCACCCTGACGGCGGGGCCCCAGGGATGCCAGCACAGCAACTGAGTCGCCCCTTCTTGCTCCTACCTGCAGACACTGGAGAGACCACGACACTGCCTCCTGGGCGCCATGAGTTCCCCTTCAGCTTCCAGCTACCCCCGTAAGTCCTCTGTGGTGTAGGATCATAAGGGAGTCCTAAAGCAACAGCCCTTTACAGGTGTGACTCCAATGTTGGGTGTCTGGGGACCTCTGAGCCACTGAGACTCTCCCTGGGGGCCACCCAGAGTGTGTCTCTGTCTCTCCTTCCCCTGAATCTGGGACACCCCCACTTGCTTGCATGTTTTTGTCTTGCACCCTGAAGCTCCATTCCTACCCTCCCTAGGACCCTGGTGACATCGTTCGAAGGCAAACATGGCAGTGTCCGCTACTGCATCAAGGCCACGCTACACCGGCCCTGGGTCCCAGCACGCCGGGCAAGGAAGGTTTTCACTGTCATCGAGCCTGTGGACATCAACACACCTGCTCTGCTGGTAAGTAAGTGGTCACCACAGGGAAGAATTATAGGCAGAAGCTGCAGGATCACCCTGACTGACAAAGTAGGGGAGGGTCCCAGGTGGGCTCTGGCGGGAAGCAGGGGGTGGGAAGGCAGCTGCAGGAATGAATGTGGAATCCATTGGAAACCCAGTACAAATCTCAGCTGCACTGATTTGTTGTGTGACTCTGGGAAAGTGCCCTGCCCTCTCTGAACCTCAGATACCTTATCTGTGAAATGGGCCACAGTTAGGGCTTATTGAGCAATAAATTATGCAGTTTACTTGCTTGGCTTGTTGATTTCATTCCCAGTTTTATAAGATGGATGGTATCCCTGGCTCTATTTATAAGTAGTTCCTGGATTGTTAAAAAGAAATGAGGCCCTGTCCAAAGCCCTCCTTCACCTGGGGGTGGTCTGCACGAAGTGACCCATTCATGCCTTTTTTTCCACCCCTGCAGGCACCTCAAGCTGGGGCTCGGGAAAAGGTCGCCCGATCTTGGTACTTTAACCGTGGCCTTGTCTCCCTCTCTGCCAAGATTGACCGCAAGGGCTACACACCAGGTAGCAGGCGGGCAGGCAGGCAGATGGGCAGGGAAGAGGGTTGGTGATAGGGCTGCAGGTGGACAAACCTGAAGCCCCACTCCTCCCCACTGCAGGAGAAGTAATCCCCATATTTACTGAGATCGACAATGGCTCCACACGGCCTGTGTTACCTCGGGCAGCTGTGGTCCAGACACAGACCTTCATGGCTCGAGGTGCCCGGAAGCAGAAACGCGCGGTGGTAGCCAGCCTCGCTGGAGAGCCAGTGGGCCCCGGGCGCCGGGCACTGTGGCAAGGCCGGGCACTGCGGATCCCCCCAGTGGGTCCTTCCATCCTGCACTGCCGAGTGCTACATGTGGACTACACACTCAAGGTAGAGTGTCCTCTGGGGTCCTAAGATCCACCCTGTGCCCCAAACTAGGGGCAGCTCTGTTTCAATGTGGGGCAGAGAGTATTTTCTCTATAAGGGAAGAAGAAGAAAAGAGAGGGCAACGGGCATGACTGAGGCTGCCTGGATACCCTTCATTCTGGCTCCTTCCTCTAGGTCTGTGTGGATATCCCTGGCACATCTAAACTGCTCCTGGAGCTGCCGCTGGTCATCGGCACCATCCCCCTGCACCCTTTCGGCAGCCGTTCATCCAGTGTGGGCAGCCATGCCAGCTTCCTGCTGGACTGGGGGCTGGGGACTCTGCCAGAGCGGCCTGAGGGTGAGCTCCCTGCCCTTTTGTTGCATGGGGTAGATGGGTGGGTGAACAGGGAGGTGGATGGCAGGTTGACTTCCCTTCCTCTAGTCTCAACGTGCTCACCCGTAAAAGGGCATAGTAAGAATGATATTGGTGGCTAGGAGTCCTCAGAATCCCAGCCTAAGGGGCACAGAGCCTGGCAGCCCTAGAGCTGCCTGGCTCCAAGGCTCTCCTCTGCTAATCTCACTTCCCCATCTCTCATTTTCAGCCCCTCCGGAGTACTCAGAGGTGGTAGCAGATGAGGAGACAGCATCCTCAGGGCAGAGCCCCTTCCCACTACTACAGGACCCTGACATGACCCTTGACAGCCCTTTCTTTGCTTATATCCAGGAGTTTCGCTACCGCCCGCCGCCTCTGTATTCCGAGGTGAGCTTAAGAGTCTGGGAACTCCTTATGCCTTATAGGCCCTGGGAGCTGTGATGGGGGTGGGAGCCACCAGAGATGGTTTTGTTTTTGTTTTTGTTTTTGTTTTTTTGAGACAGAGCCTCAAGCTGTCCCCCTGGGTAGAGTGCTGTGGCATCACAGCTCACAGCAACCTCCAACTCCTGGGCTCAAGCGAGTCTCCTGCCTCAGCCTCCCAAGTAGCTGGGACCACAGGCGCCTGCCACAACGCCCGGCTATTTTTTGGTTGCAGCCGTCATTGTTGTTTGGCAGGTCCAGGCTGGATTCGAACCTGCCACCTTAGGTGTATGTGGCTGGTGCCTTAGCCGGTTGAGCTACAGAAGCTGAGCCAAGATGGGTTTATTTAAGTGACAGATGGGGTCTTGCTCTGTTGCTGAGGCTGGAGTGCAGTGGAATCATTATAATTCAATGCATCCTCAAATTCTTAGGCTCAAGTGATCCTATACTCCTGCCTCAGCCTCCTGAATAGCTGGGAATACAGGTACCTGCCACAGTGCCTGGCTAATTTTTAAATTTTTTGTAGAGATGAGGGTCTTCCTATTGCCCAGGCTGGTCTCAAACTCCTTGCCTCAAGTGATTTTCCTGCCTAGGCCCTCCAAAGTGTTAGTACTATAGGTGTGAGCCTGTAAGCCTGGCCAAGATAGGTTTTGAATGTTAATAGAACTCCTGTACAGACACTTGGCCCTCCACACCAGTGGGGTCTGCATCCTCTTTGTGTTAGATACTGTAAGTAAACTAGAGGTGATGTAAAGTATAAGAGAGGGTATGCATAGGTTTTATGCAAATGCTATATCATTTTATACATGTACAAGGGACTTGAGCATCTGAAGATTTTGGTATATCCACAGGAGGGCCCTGGAATGACCCTTCTTGCCCTGTAGTCAGCCTGAGTATCCCCTGCTGACTACCTCTTCCATGGCTGAGTGTGGAAGATGGACTGGGTAGGGAGGGTATTTTTGAGCCTTCATTCCCCCACCCCACCCCCAGGCTTAATGGGAACATTTCTCTTAGGAGGATCCAAACCCATCTTCAGAGGCCATGAGGCCACGCTGCATGACCTGCTGAACAACAAATAGACACCTCAAGGGACGAGGTTGCATACTTGCTTTCAGCTGTTGTGATCATGGAGAGCAGCTTGATCAAGGATTGACCACCCTGATTGTGCTGAAGTTGGGGAAACTGAATCTCAGAGTGGAGCAAAGCTGTTCTGATATCACAGAGGACAGGAACCAGGCTGGAACCTGACTTATCTGGAACGTCTGTCTTGTGAGGCAGTGAATGCCTGGAGATACTGTTTAACCTGTGTATGCAGCCTGTGGGCTGTGCTGGGGTCCACTGGGAGCCTTCAGTCTGGGAGAAACAGAGCCAGACATAGATAATTCCAAGTCTTGTGGAACCAGAGTAAGAGACTCGAAGCTAGGGGAGTCCAGAGGAGAAACACAGAAAGGCTTCCTGGAGGAAAAAGCATTTTAGCTGAGGCTTTGGCGTATACATAGGAGCTCAGCAGGTAGACTAATGATGAGGAGAAGTTGGAGAAGGTCAGAGCTGAGTGATATTTGGAACCCACCCCCTTCATCTTCAAACTGGGGGTTCAAAGGGCGTGTGCCTCAGTTGAGGCCACACAGTGAAGTCCAGTGGGTGACAGGGCCCAGGAACGAGGCATTCTGGAAAACAGGTCATTGGAGCTACGTGGGCCGGCCTGTGGGTAGCAGGAGCAGCGGGTTCTTTGAAGATTTTGATAGCCAGGTCCAGGCTGGAACTGCCTGGGACTTCCTCCAAGTACTGTGGGACATCCAAGTTGTCTGAGTGTTACATGGCCCAGGAAATTTAGGTTCAGGGCAGGACAGACAAGACTAGGCATATAACTTGCAAAATGAAACTGTTGGGCTCCCTGTTCAAGATTAGGAATCACAAGACAGTGACTACAAAACATTACACCAGGCCCTAGGGATAGAGGTCAGCCTGGGGTAACACAGGGGACCAGAGTGCTTCAGGAAGTTACCTGTGTCCTGGAGAAAAGCACTAAGGGGGGCAGCTGGACAAGCCCCTAACTGCAGAGTGCCAGCCCTGGCTAGGGCAGGATCCCTGCCTGGGACTCAGCATTTCTGATAAGCCTTAAGAAATCAATCTTCTTTTGTACAATTATTTTTTAAAAATAAAACTGTGGAGAAAGAGACTGGGCTTATTGGTTTATTTCCTTCAGTAAGTAGAGTACCTTAGCCTGACTTCCCAGGTCCCACGCTTGGGGACTGAATTCCTGGCCAAGGAGAGTTGAGGGGCCCATTTTCCAGAAGGAACACTGGGGCCCAGTGACAGGGAGGGTGAGCTGGGGTAGGAGCTGGACCCTGGATCCCTTAGCTGTACCTGCTGGTACACTTTCAGAGGCTGACAGTGTGAACGGGAGAGGACAAGCAGAGGGCTCATCTATCCTCAGAGAAAGGAGAGGAGGAGGTTGGGAAAGGGCAAGGTCAGCCGGATCCAGGAAGATCCTGCCTACCTAAGTCTGGGCTTTGTTTTTATTGAGGTGAAATTCACATACCACAAGATTTACCATTTTAAAGTGTACAATTTCATAGCATTTAGCATATTCACGATGTGCAGCCATCCCCTCTATCCATCTCCATGACTGCCAAAGGACACCCCATACATACTCATTAAACAGTTACTCCCTATTCCCCCTCCTCAGCCCCTGGCAACCGCTAATCTGCTTTCTGTCTCTTAGGAATTTGCCTATTATGAACATTTCCTATAGATGAAGTCATGTGTCCTTTTGTGTCTGGCTTATTTCACTCAGCATAATGTTTCTGAGGTTCACTCACATGTTTTAAAACATATATCAGAACTTCATGCCTTTTTATGGCTGAATGATATTCCTTTGTATGAGTATATCACATTGTGTTTATCCATTCATCTGTGGATGGACTCTGGGTTGTTTCCACATGTTGGCCATTGTGAATCTTGTTGCTAAGAACATGCATGTACAGGATTTCTTTGTTTTGTTTTTTAGAGATAGGGTTTCCCTCTGCTGCCCAGGCTGGAGGGGAATGGCACAATCATAGCTCACTGTAGCCTCCAACCCCTGGGCTCAAGTGATCCTTCTGCCTCAGCCTCCCTAGTAGTTGGGACTACAGCCACGTGCCACCATGACTGGCTGATCTTTCTATTTTTTTGTAGAGACAGGGTCTCACTACTTTTCCCAGGCTGGTCGTGAACTCCTGGCCTTAAGCGAACCTCCCGCCTCACCTATCAAATGCTGGGATTATAGGAGTGAGCCACTGTGACCTGCCTTTAAAGATTTCTTTGAATACTCTTTGTAGCCTTAGTAGCATAGGGTTGTTATTATTCCAGAGTTGCAGGTGGGGAAAGTGAGCCCCCCAAAATGAATTGACTGATCCAGGGTCTCATAGTCAGGACTAATACAGCCTCAGTTCCAAATTGTCTTTTGGACTCTGGAGACCACGCCCCCACTGGCTGCGTCAACCTTGCCCCACAGGCTCCCTCTGTAGCTCCTCCCCGGACCTCTAGGTTCCATCTCTTCTAAATGCTCACGCCCCACCTCAAGGTGGGTGCGGAGGCCCAATTGCAACCCTGATCTGATAGCCCAGGCTGTGCTCACCACTCTGTCCAAGGAATCCAGTCATGTTTACTGTTGTGAATATTAGAAACATGCGTGTACAAGGATTTCTTTGAATACTCAGCTTTTAGGCTGCCATTGGCAGAGCCAGGGGCCAGAGGTAAAGACTTGGAGATACCTGGGGCTGCATGCTGAGAGATCAGGGTTAGAGCTTTGCTCTCTGGGACACTGCAGCAGGCTCAGCAGCCCCTGAGCCTCAGTTTCCTCATCTGAGACTTTGGGACACACACACAGAGCCCTCAACCACCTCCCCTCTCTGGCCTGAGGGTGAATCCTGATTTCTAGCTGCTCCTAGTCCTAGGGTCCACCCAGACCTCCCTGATCTGCCATCAAGCCTTGAGGACACTGGGACCAGGCTGAGGGGAGATGTTCCCACAGCACAGTCACCCAGAACTCAAATTGGTAGTTTGGGGAGAAGGTGAGTTCCTTGTCACTCAGGGTATGTAAGACACCAGATCCCAATTTCCACATCCATGTTCCCAAACAGAGAAGAGTCTGAGGTGTTTATTCCAAAAGTAGACGTGGGTACAGTTGTACAAAAGGTTTCCCCTGGGGGAATTGGGAGGATATGACATCTTGTGTCCTCAGAACTCCTGAGTTAGCAACTATGGGAAACTTGATTCCTAAAGAATTTTTTGGTGGAGATAAATGGCAACCAGGCTGAAACTGGCTCAGGCAGTCCCAATTCAGGAAACTTCCTGAACAGAGGGAGGGGCCCAGGGAGCCCAGGGTAAGATGATCAATTGATAGGAAATATAAAATAAAACCTCACCTCTCCCCTGGCTCCTAAGACCCTATCCACATCTCCCTCCAGCTCTGGCTCCCTCCATAGCTTTTACTAAAACAACCCAAGTTGATTCCTACCTCAGGGCCTTTGCACATGCTGTTGCCTCTGCTGAAAGGCACTTCCTTCCATGGCTGGCTTCTCTTTACTCTTTGGCCTCATCTTTTTAGGGTCACCCCAACCTCCTGGCTAAAATCAGCAGTGTCCCCACCAACTCCCTCTCCTATCCCCCTGTTCTATAGTCTTTATAGCCTTCATCACTCTCTGCAGTTCCTATTTTTTTTTTTTTTTTGAGACAGAGCCTGAAGCTATTCCCCTGGGTAGAGTGCCATGGCATCACAGCTCACAGCAACCTCCAACTCTTGGGCTCAAGCGAGTCTCCTGCCTCTGCCTCCCAAGTAGCTGGGACCACAGGCACCTGCCACAACGCCTGGCTATTTTTTGGTTGCAGCCATCATTGTTGTTTGGCGGTCCCGGGCTGGATTCGAACCGCCTGCCTTAGGTGTATGTGGCTGGCGCCTTAGCCACTTGAGCCACAGGCACCAAGCCTGAAGATCCTACTTAGATGTTTACTTGTTCATCTAAGCATTGGTCAGGGCAGCTCCAGCATATAGCAGGAATGAGGTTTGTCAGCTAAGTGATTGGAGAACCATTGCCCCGCCCTCTCTGGTGTGAATGAAGATTCTTATCGGGGTGTCACTCCCCTTATTTGTTCCTAGGACCCACTCCAATCAGACTTATCACCTGTGCAGAGGGTCAAATGCCAAGTCTCTTTCTCATTATCTCTGTGTTAGTTTCTCTCTTACCATCTTTGTGTCCTCTGTCTCCCTGTGTCATTCTCACTCTGTCTCTTGATGTCTCTGTTTCTGTCTCTGTCTCACTCTCTCATTGTCTCTCTCTCAGTCTCTTTCACTATGTCCTTATCTCTGTCTCATCATCTCTCTCATTGCCTCTGTCTCTCTCTCTAATTCTCTCAGCCTCTCTTTGTCTCTGATTTCTCTGTGTCTCTGTCTCTCTCACTGTCTGTCTCACTCACTCTCTCTGGTTCTTTCTCTCTTGCTCATCGTCTCTCTTGCCACTGTGCCCCCTTTCTCTGTCTTCCTCTGTGTCTCTCTTCCTGTTCCCTGTTTCTCTGTCTCCCTGTCTCTTTGTCTCTGTCTCTCACTGTCTCTCTTGGCCACCATTTCTGTTTCTCTCCCAGTCTCTGATTCTCTCATCATTTCTGTCTCCTGCCCTGGCCCAGCTAACCTTGGAACATGAGGTGACAGGCAGGCAGTGCACTGGCCGCCACCACTTGTTTTCCCTCCCATGCTGGCAGCAGGCCCAGCTGGCTGGATTGCTGTTCAGGAATCCTCTGGCCTCCCCTCTGCTCCAGCCACCAGGCACAGCCACTGCCAGTCTCTCCTCCCAGCACATTCTGTTCCAAGCAGGGAGCGCCAAGGGTGGGTGGAAGAGGGACGCGTTCTTGCTGGGCTCCAGTTACAGGACACCCTGTCCTGGTGGCCCCGCTATCACAGCCTCCAGACCCTTCCCCTCCCTACTCTGGGCTTAGACCTTCCCAAATGAAGCCTGAATCCCTCTGCCAGCTCATCCCCACCTCAGGGCCTTTGCATGTGCTGGGCCTTCCACCTGGCACTCCCGCTCTCTGGACCTCCTGAGGACCTTCTCTGCCTGCCTGCAAGTGTCAGATCACACATCACCTCCTCAGGATTCTCTCCCTGGCCCTAGCCTAGGGCACCCCTCGGTCCCCTGCCTCTGCTCTGATGTGCTGTCCTTCCTGGTCCTCTTCCTCCCTGGGGTTACATATTTACTTGTTTGTCAGTGTGGTGTCTATTACATTGGTGCCCTGCTGTGTCACCAGTGGCTGGCACACATAGTAGGTATTCAGTGAATTTTTTATAATCTAGATATTTGCCTTCAAAGCTCAGCTCTGCCTGAGCCCACCCAGGCTCATGCATGAGGCTCCCCAGTTTCTGACCTAATCCATTCCTGCCATCACCTGACTATGTCACTCCTGCTGTTCCAGCAGTTTCCCAGCCCTCCTGCTGTTGCCCAGAGTTCCCTCTGCCAGATGCACCTTGTACAACAGGGGCTGGGTGTCTCTGTTACTGGGCTCCACACACGGGGTGGGGCAGCTAAGATGTACGTGTGCAGACACACACATATGCGCACAGGTGTGCACAAAAGCATGCCAAGAACACAGAAACAAGCCAGCAACATTTTGGCTGAGACCTTGAGTAATACAGACTGCACCAGCATGCAGTATTTATGGGGTATTCACACATGGAGTCTCCAACTTTCAGGGGCATGCAGTTGTGGCCTCCAAATTACATATGGGGCTCAACAGGAAATTTGAGCCCGTTTCAGGGTATACACAAAGTTGTCCACTGGCCTCACTTCCCCCATCTGGGAGTCACCAAAGTTGTCCATGGTCCATGTGTCTCTGGCCTTGCTTCCCCCATCTGGGAGTCACCCCTCCCCATCTTGTTTTTGATGTTCAGGAAAGTCCCCAGAAAGCACTGGGCCCAGGCAAGGGGCCAGGAGGAAATGGTGACTCAGCTGGTGGGGCCATCAGTGCCTGCCACGCCAGGCTGGGCAGTGTGATCTGGACTGGGCGGTTAGATCTGGGAGGACTCACTAGAATAAAGGATGGGGGTTGGGTGCAGGGTAAACAGGGCTCACACAGCAGGGTGAGGAAGGGAGGCCCCTCTGTGCTCCAATACCTCAGCTCTACTAAGCATGATTCATAGGTGG